TTCCTGTCCCACAGCCAAACATTCAGTGATGGGAAATCCCTGCAAATTAGGGAAATTCCTTGGGAACCGCCCAGGTCACCAGAACTAGTGTCCCCACTGGAAAATTTCCCCTCTATTACTTTTCTGGGGACAACTCAAAAGTTGTCTTTTACTTTCAATGATAATGATAAGCAGGAAAATAGGGTGAATCTCCTTAACAGACAGCAATACAACTAATTTTCTAGTCCCTCTCCGCTCTATACAAAACTGTAAAAAAAAAATATGTACCTTTAGTTATACTTTAGTTGTGTATTTAGATGTTTGCCTGGGATTCAGCTCTGCTCAGCTGAACTCTACTGCTACAATTTCCACATTCCTGTTCTAAAACAGTGACAGCATGATTGTTTGCTGTGGGCAATAGTTTCAAAGTTAAGGCAGAACCAATCAAATTCTTTAAAGCCAAAAGTTTTTTTTTTAGTTCTGGATAGTGTGGGGAAAAGGTTAGATCCTCAGATTTATTGATGTGCCTTTCATTGCTGGGGAAATTCACCCTCTACTTGTTTCGTTGTGACTGAAATGTACAGTAAGTGAGGGGAAATTTAAAATTTTGGAGTCACTAGAGCAAGAGGTGAGGGAAAATCAGCCAATGTGGCATGATGTTTTAGTAACAACTGTCTGTGGACTTCCTCTCGAAGTGGTGAGATTTCCTCTCTTTTTACTGTTGCATCTTCAGGACAGGATGTGTTATAATATTCCCATCGTGACACATACAGCAAAAAGGGGGTTAGGCAAAATAGGGGTTTTAACCCTCCCCTAGTAAAAAAGGAAGTTTTGGTTTTGCATACATTTTAAAGCTGAACTCCAGGAATTTAGCCAGTTTGTAAAATGTGCAGACATACGAGTCCAACTGGGTATATGCCACTTCCTGGACATTCACTCTTTTATTCACATCTGGCAGTTTTATGAAGCTCCATTAGGATAAATATCATACACTTCAGGGCTTTGAGAGGAGAGATGCTGTATTCTCACACACAGCATCTCTACCTGCCCCTCCCCTCTGCTGTTCATTCACAGAAGCCTTTGTAGTCTGTGAATGAGTTAATTTATTGCAAAACTTGCTTTGATTGGGCTGGAGCAGGGGCGAGCACAGCAGATGTATGCGATTCTACAACTGAAGGATCTGAGACCAGAAGGTCCAGCATTGGACCTCCAGAAATACAGCAATAGCTATCCTCCCAGAGCACTGAAAATGTAGTGATAGCTGTCCTCCCAGAGCTACATAAAATATTAATGTCCTTAGGTGTGGTTGCTGTATTATTTTTTTTCAGGGTTTTTTCCTTTATTTGCACATGAGGATTCTGCCAGTAACATACTACCTCTCCTAGACTGGCAAAGCTCACTCCCCATACTGTATCTATGGAGCATTGTCAGTTTAGAATACCTCCCCCTCTTTTGAATCCTCATCACATGGTGGGGCAGTGGTATTTTACAGTTCACAGAAGAGAACTGGTGAGAACTGATAATATTGTTGGAGTTCAATGCCGGGTAGTTATAGGCACACTGGATTACTGAAGAAATCAACATCTATATTCCTGTACTCGCAGGAAATGTGGTAACACTACTTTTTTTTATAGCTACAGTACAGTGAGTGAGGGTTGTCACTAGGGTTGCCACCTCATCCCTTTAAAGCCGAACACATATTATTACCCAGGTTCTGTAGCTGATAAAGATGGTAATTAATATGTGTTCAGTTTTAAAGGGTGTGGTGGCAACCCTAGTTGTCACTCTAGGACAGGAAATGTGTTGCTGGCAGGATCACCAGGTAAAAATAATGGAAGAAAGCCTGAAAAAGAAAACAAAAGCAGCCACCACATCTAAGGACTGTTCTACTGTAATATACTGTATTTTTTGCTCTTGGTTTCTCAAGTCATTCACATTTAAGTGTTTATTTGTGATGCTTTAATGCATACACATTATGGCTTGCCTTAACATGTCTTGCATTAAGACAGACCATTTATTGTAACTGGGCTGCCAACCTACCACAATGGGTAAGAAAATGTGCACGACTCTTTTGTAACAATGCAGTGCACCACACCACATGGTATATACCGCTCAGCAAATCAAAATTAAAGCGCACAAGACTTTTTCCAACACATGGGTTCAATCGTATGCTGTTGAAAGAATAGACTTGTCTGTAAATGACAGTGCATCTGCTGTGAAGCATTTGGCATAGGAACGTGTCATCTAACAAATCCTAAAACATAGATTGGACACATCCCTGGTAGATACTGATAGCTGTGTCTAATTAGTAGCTTGGAAGCTCATCACTGAAAACAAAGATTTAAAGCAGCTGGGTGTCAGTTTGTTGTCTTTTCTGCAAATTAGATAACATGGTTTTTAAAAAATGCATGCATATTCTCCACTTTTATCTAATTCCTTCTGCAGGACAGCAAAAAAAAAAATATTTAACAAGAAAAAGGACCATCTGCAAACCATGTCAAGTGTGAGTGTGTGTACAATTGAATGTGTGCATACAGCTGAGAAGAGCATTTTTTTCTGTTCTGTACTGTCAGGCAAACTACATAGGAGGTACTGAAAGGAGAGCAGTCAGGGGATCTTGCTAACAGGACCCTACAGGCACAGCATTCTGTACTCCTGATGCAGAAAAGCATATGTGAGAATGACACTGCTGCCACAGCATTGGGAGCCTGTGGTTAGCGTTGTCACCATTTCCCAGGAAGGCCACAGAGGATGCAGAAACTGTCAGGATCACCAGGTATATATTAGGCTTTTTGAACTAGTAATAAAGTATTTTACGTTGCCTCCCCCTTAGATTTTTTTTTTTTCCTTTTTCTTGTGAACTCTTAGAGTATGTTACTATTCTTACAACCTGTCAGCCTGGCAGGATGGTTAAGCCACTTTCCTTTTCAGTTTTGTAGATATTATTACTTCTTGCAATATCCTATTCTGACAGGGGATCGACCTCACAGATTTTCCTATATTTCCTTTTCTTTGAGTTCACTGTATATATGGGAACTTTAATATGACTGGCTGTTTTTTTTCTTTTGCTGTGGCCAAGGACTGTGCTCCTATTGGGTTCAGTGGCTGTTTCTATACTATGCGTTCTTAACAAAATCCTAATAAACTTTTATTCTGTAAAAAAAAATATTTCACTCCTATACTTAAGAAGCAAAAAGAGTGCAAATGTGAGCAAGTACTTGTTTGGATTTCCATACAATTTAAGTGGCAATTCATTTTAAGAAATGTGTCCTTATTAAACTGGGGTAACTGAATGTTTCTTATTTTCTCCATGACTTTTCTTAGATGGCTGTATTTATTGATGACTTGAACATGCCAAATCCTGAACAATATGGGGCCCAGCCACCGCTAGAACTGATTCGTCAGTTACTAGAACTGGGTGGCTTCTACGACACTAAAGCACTTACCTGGAAGGTGGGTATCTTTATTTTATTCTTTTTTTATGATCATGCTTCCTATTACTGGTTCTTGGTTATAACTGGTGATGCCCCAGGTGGAAACTGGAAGCTTGCGAGGTCAGATATGGATGGGAGGAGTCTCTGCACTGTAGCGGGGAAACAGCTGGCCATTGCTTCCTAAGTGTTGCTGCAACTTAACAGTTAACACCTTGCTCCCCTCCTGTCATTGAGAACAGGAGAGAGCAAGAATGGTTGCTCAGAGATTTATTGCCCTTTAGACAGCCCTAAGCAGACCATCCTCATGTAGAGTAAGGTTGTTTGTGGGTCATTTAAAAAATGCCGTAAAGAAAATAATAAGAAAAGATGAGTTTTTTACCCCTTGTGTCTAAATCCTATAAATAAAAAAAGTATTGCTGTGGGCAACCACTCATTTTTTTTAACAAATAAACCTTTTTTCTTCCTTGATATGTGCATGCTTAAGTGTATCTTAACTGAGGACAGATAGGTAATCCTAAATGAAAGCATTAAAGAATTTGGAAAATACTAAGAACAGAAATAAATGGAAGGTAATTCTAGGTAATGGTCAGCCCACCCAAAACTGATATTTCAAATTTTTTTTGGATGCTGGAGAGTGAGGGCTCATTTACATTTGCGTGGTTGATTGAACTCAATAGGCTTCTAATGCACCACAACATCCTAAAATTGGATGTATTGCAAAGTTTTTCTGCAACATACTATGGTGCATTGCAGTACATTGCAACCCCGGTGCATTGTCTCAGTGTTTAACATACATTGCCATGCATTGTGGTAACACGTATGTTGCCACAAAAGAGTAGATGTAAATCAGCACTTAAACTCTATTGATGAAATCTCTGTTCTGCACTCTAGGGGTGAAATCTCTGTTTACATGTCTGCATGCAGGAGTAGCTGGAACACACACAAAACTCCTATCTGGACATGAAAAGTGTCTGATACTATTATTATTATTATTATTATACAGGACTTATATGGCGCCAACAGTTTGCTCAGCGCTTTACAATATAATGGGAGACAATACTACAATACAGTTCAATAGAAGAGGGATAGGAGGGCCCTGCTCCTCGGAGACTATTGCAGGAATATCCCTCTTTTGGAGTATCTAAGGCATTTAATAAGACATGGATGACTCTAAACTAAGTAACTAAAATATTATTTTAATGGGGCAGACACTTGAGAAGCAAAAAAAAAAAGAGAGCAAAAAAATTGGAGGTGCTTAAGCATTGGTTAGAGCAATAATTCAGTGTTGATGTTTTATTGTTAACATACAGTTCACAAATAATTTTTAAATCTCTGTGAACTTGACTTAAAATATCTGTCATTTTTTGTTTAATGATCCTTATTCAGGTGTGGTAGCTTTGTGAATTGAGTCTAATGGGACTTTAATAGCATAGTTCTACTTTTTTTTAATTTGTTGGCTCAAAAAATACTGGCAGATGTTCTATTTGTTATAATCCAGTCCATTCTTCTCATTCTGGAAATTTATATGCCAAAAAAGAAAACAGTTGTTTCAAGCAATAGGTTTAAAATGTCATACTTTTATATTAGAACATACATGTTAATGCGCTGGCTCAGGGGCGGACTGACAACTCATGGGGCCCCCAGGCAATAGGGGATCATGGGGCCCCTGTGTCCTTGCCCAAACTCAAAAAAGCCTATGAAAAAGGTACCAGGTGCATCTAATGGGGCCCCCTACTGACCCCGGGCCCTCGGGCAGTGCCTGAGTTTCCAAATGGTCAGTCCGCCCCTGCGCTGGCTATATCAGTATGAAAATAGTTATCATTTTAAAAAAACACCTAGGGCATTTGTGTTGCTTGGTATCTAGAGAAATAGCTTCACCATCTGATCTGGTCAAAATTATCCTGATTTGGGGGCATCTTGTCAGTGGGTATTCTTAAACCTGATCTAAATCTGATTACCAAAATGTTTTAAAATCCTAATTCAGCAACTACTTGTTTCCTCCAGAACATCCAGGATGTCTCTCTCATCACTGCTTGTGCACCCCCTGGTGGAGGAAGGAATGAGCTCAGTCCCCGTCTCCTAAAACATTTCTGCGTGTTTACCCTGCCTCACCCCTCCGTGCAGGCACTGCAGCATATATTCCAGGTAAACAAAAATACAGTATGGATAAACATTTAAAGGAGAATTATGGGATATACTAAATAACAAACATACATACCTCCATTATGCTGCATCTGTGTGACACCTTCCCACTCCGACTTTAAGAGAGCTGACAGATCACATGACCAATAATCATTCAGCTCTGGGTCCACTTGTAGCCGAGGGAAATGACTATCAGTCACTGCACCCCGTTGCACAAAAACTGCAATGGTTGGAAGTATTACAAGATTTGCTCATCTTGCAATTTGTAGGACATTCAATACTAAAGGTGTGGAGGTGAGACCAATGCTGCAAAGGAAAATGTGGGTGTAGATTTCTGCAGCTAGGCACAGTTAAAAAGTTTTTTTTTAGAGTCCACAGGGGAGAACTGGGAAGCCTTGCTCATGAAAACAAAACAGTATAGAGTGGCTCTTTTGGTAGGCACTGATTCCTGTGGGCTAAAGAAAGTATGCCATTATGGGGTATGGTAAAAGTTGGGTTTTCCTAAAGACATGGTTTTTTTGTGGCACACCTTTTCACATTTTCCAAGATTAGCTTCCTTTGTGACTTTCGGCATTCGGTCTGATGACACCTCAGAGCTGCAATGGAAGTTGGTGCTGGAAGACTTCCATTTCCCAGAAGCTGTGATAGCAGCTCTGAACAAGGAGCAGGTTACTGTATAATACCCAGCATGTGTCACTGACTACAGGTCAAAATCTGATCTCTGAACGTTGGAGCATCTCCACTCATGGCCACCAGCCCAACATATCCTGTTAGTACTGCCATGGGTGACAGTGCCCCTACTCTCCTAGCTAGTCCTTTCAGTTTAAATGCATTTTTATTATTAAAACATTTTTCAAACCATAACAAAATATGGCACAGTATGGTAAGCGGTAAAGTGTATGTAAGATGTCAGATGTATAGTACCAATGATAAAAGATGTTAGATGTATTTTCCTTACAAACAGTACAGAGATAAGTTTTGTGGTTGGCTGTCCAAATTGCCCTTCAGTCCTCTAACGAAAATTGTTTATTCAGTACTAGTTCCCATGTAATCACATAGCTATGTTTCAGGGGTGTTTCAGAGTGTGGGGCCATCAAGATCTTATACATGAGATTAGTTCCCTGCAAGTTGCTGGAGGGAGGGGGAGGTGGTGATAACTGGGATGGATCATGGAAAGTGTCAGATTTGAAAACATCTGATCTAAGCAAGGCCTGCAAGGGTAACTGATATTGTTCCTGTGGAGTTGAAAAGGGTAGAAATGATTTTGTGTTCGCATCAATAAGGTTGTCAATGTGGAAGATGGTGTTTGAGTTTCCACGGCAATACCATGTAGTCAGGGAGACTATCTAGAATACCTAGAATATCTAGAATGTGCACAAAAAAGATACCATGTGGGAGGCGCCAGACATCAATGAAAATTTTGCTGGCAAACTTTTCAAATCCCTTTAGTAAACTTCAGTGCAGCAAGTGGGTCAATATTTATGCATTTTGGTTGCAGAACCCCAGAGTAGGAGTTGACTTCTTTTAATCTCTACTCTGGCTGCTTGAGTTGTGACTGATGAAAGGAGGAAACATTCTGTTCTCCCTTTCTGCGGTTATGTGCAGTCTCAGGGTAAAAGCCAGAAAGTTCTCAGATCTGATTACCTGTAACTATACAAAATCAGTTTTCAATTCTATTGAGAATGTACACATATATTAAAGCCTAGTACATACGATCAGAAAAACGTAGGAAAAATAAAATTTTCGAAGCGATCATATAATAATCTCTTTGTTAGTACAAAGCTTTTGTCTGAAATTATTTGAAGGGACAAGCATGAAAATATTTTGTGTACAATACCAGATTGTATGATTTTCATTTAATCAGTACAGTTTTTGTCCAAAAATACAATATATTACATCACTACCAAATTTTTATTCTGTCATATTATAATTTTCGTAACTTGAGTAACCTCTTCACTTTCTATATGGAGACTAGTGTGCAAAAAAAATGGATGATCATTCATCGTGCTTATCGTGTGTACATGGCTTTACTGGGAAAATAAATCTAATGGCAGATGTTTTAGATCTCTCCAGCCTCATTCAGTTCTCTTCCAGAGAGTCCAGGCTGTTATGATCATCAGGATGATCATGGATCACGAAAAGTGATGCAGTAGACAGAACCCACTTCACAAAAAGGAATGCAGGGAGGTTGCTCCGTGGGGGTGTATTGCTCCAGTAAGGGCGTCTGCTTGACCTTGGGTTGGACTTCAAAGCCAACCTGTGCTTTGTCCATGCAGATCATTTTAATTTTAACCCCATCAGCAGCAAATACTTGCTTTTTCTTTGCTCCCCCACTTCATGTGACTAGCTTCTATTCTTCCTAGATCACAGTACTGGCACTAGGCAATTGGCCTCTAAGGCTCTCGGTACTTCCAATCTATGGAGAGCATGTGATTCCCTCCCTCCCTCCCACGCCAAAGCGCTGGTGCTTAGCAAATCAGGAAACAAGTGTCAGATGGGATTACTGGGGTTAAAGAGACAGTTCTCAGACCTGTTAGAGTTGCAGCCTAAAGCATATGCAGTGTCATGTGTCTTTCTTACCAAACAGATTTGTGGGTGAGCAAAAAGGTTAGTACATGCAGGTATGTTCAGCTAGCAGGGGGAACCTGTTACTATGTCCCTCTCTAACCATATATTATATTTAAGGCAATTATGGTCCAGTGTGAGCAATGCTTAGTCTAGACACACTGCCACCATTGGGAAGTATAACATTTTAAGAAATGAAACTCTTCCAGGATGGCACATCAATGTGCCGTTGCCAGAAGGTTTACTGTGTCTCCCAGCACAGCCTCAAGAGCATGGATGAGATTCCAGGAGACAGGCAGTTACTCTAGTTGAGCTGGACAGGGCTGTAGAAGGTCCTTAACCCATCAGCAGGACCGGTATCGGCTCCTTTCTGCAAGAAGTAACAGGATAAGCACTGCCAGAGCCCTACAAAATGACCTTCAGCAGGCCCCTGGTGTGAATGTCTCTGACCAAACAATCAGAAACAGACTTCATGAGGGTTGTCTGAGGTCCTCTAGTGGGCCCTGTGCTCACTGCGTGGCACCATAGAGCTCGATTGGCCTTTGCCATTGAACACCACAATTGGAGGGTCCTCCACTGGTGCCCTGTGCTTTTCACAGATGAGAGCAGGTTCACCCTGTGAACGTGGCAGACGTGAAAGGGTCTGGAGAAGTCGTGGAGAATGTTATGTTGCCTGTAACATCATTCAGCATGACACGTTTTGGTGGTGGGCCAGTGATGGTCTGGGGAGGCATATCCATGGAGGGACGCACAGACCTCTACAGGCTAGACAATAGCACCCTGACTGCTATTAAGTATCGGGATGAAATCCTTGGACCCACTGCCAGACCTTACGCTGGTGCAGTGGGTCCTGGGTTCCTCCTGGTGCACGATAATGCCTGGCCTCATGTGGTGAGAGTATGCAGGCAGTTTCTGGAGTATGAAGGAATTGATACCATTGAATGGTCCCCACACTCGCCTGACCTAAATCCAATAGACCACCTCTGGGATATCATGTTTCTGTCCATCCGACACCACCAGGTTGCACCTCAGACTGTCCAGGAGCTCAGTGATGTCCTGGTCCAGGTCTGGGAGGAAATACCCCAGGACACCATCCGTCATCTCATTAGCAGCATGCCCCGATGTTGTCAGGCATGCATACAAGCACTTGGGGGCCATACCAACTACCATTTTGGGTTTCTGCAATGAAATTTCAGCAAAATGGACTAGCCTGCTGTATCATTATTTTACTTTGATTTTCGGGGTGTCTTTGAATTCAGTCCTCTGTAGGTTGATCATTTTCATTTCTATCAAATGATGGGACATCCTTGCATTCCTAATACATTATCCAGTCCATATCAGTATAGATATCCAGCATGATATTTTTCCCCATTGAGATCTCATGTGTTTTCAAAGTGTTCCTTTAATTTTTTTGAGCAATGTGTGTAGCATTTGTATATCTGAGGACATTACCCAATTCCAGCAAACACTCATGAGAGAGGATGGGAAAGTCTGATTAGCATTCCCCTTCCTAGACACAAGCCTCGTGTGGACATGCATGTTTGTGGCACAATCTTCAATTGAAATGGTCATTTAGTGGCTGCATCATGCAAAACTCCGTCAGCCGCAATCTAAAGTTTCTAGCCTGTTTTGCCTGGTGCAAATGTAATCCTCTACATACTTCACAATTTTCTTTTTGTAATTTGTTATTTTTTATGTAGCTCTGCTGACATCTTGTGGACATAATTAAAATGAAACTTAAAGTGCAACTTCAGTATTTCAATCAACATGGACTATTTCTAATCCTTATGCTGCTAGCATTAGTAAATAGATAGTAAAGTATATCATATTTACTAGTGTTAAGCTTTTTTTTTTTTTTTTTTTTTACATTTCTTCAGTTACTTTCTGGTTTCCATGCCTAGGCAAATTATGTCATACATCCCAGTAGTCTTCAGGAGGAGAGGGAGGGTTCTCAGCTCAGCCAATGCCTGAGCTAACAGCAGATGGCAGGAAGTAAATGCTACATGAATCATCTGCCCTTACTGAAAACGGCCATGGCCAGAAATGCTAAGGGGTATTTTCAAAATGATTTCTCATCAAAATA